AAGAATTGATACAATCAATAAAGTTCTTATGTCGAACTTGAACCTATGAAAGAGCATAAAAATAAATCAGATATTTGAAAATGAAGTGAAAACGAACCGCTTTGGGTGTTCCAGTTGAACCACTAGTAAAAATAATGTAGGCTATCTTTACACCTTTCATGATCGCATTTGAAAGATCTTTCTTATCTATGTCATTAACAATCAATATTGTATCAATATCAAGTGAAATAATATCATGATCGAATTTAGTTTTAGTTAAATGATGCACAAGAACAAGACGACTTTGAGTTTGTTGTGTGAGTGCATATAAACGATGTTGTGGATCTTGAGGTGATAATGGACAATAAACACCACCAGCCATTTCAATTCCCATAATACCAATCACCTAATCAAAGACAATCTCAAACTCTCATCATTAGTTATTTCCCCTAATCAACTCACCATCGACAAACTTCGTTCAACACATTGACATACGATCTCACCTGGAAAAACACGATATTCATTAAGAAGAGTTAAAGATAATACTTGGACATAATATAGAAGTTCAGCATATGCCAATGATTGTTCATCTAGTTCAACAGCTAGTTTTTGTGGATGTTTCATTACTTGATATACAAATTCATGATGAATACAAGTGACAGGAGTTGGAAATGATACTTGTGTATTATTCATTGATTGCATGAGTAATCTTTCATTTGGTAATGTTAATGATATTTCATAGATTGATTTACTCATTTGATCATCAGCAGACACAAAGAATTGTTTCAAGACTGAATGGAATCGTTGAGATATGTTATCAATTGTTTCAACATTGAATAAATCAAGGGATGCATTGATGGTACATGAGAGTTGATTGATATTGAGATCATGTTGAATTATAAGTGAGAAATCATACTTATTTGTAATCTCATTATCATTCGCAACGGGTATGGAAAAAAGTTGACTATCACCAATCATTATTAGTTTATTGTCACTTTTTGTCATAGATGATAGAAATTCAAATGATATATCAAGAAATGCTGGTTTTAAAACATTTGAATGTTGATTGAGAATATGTTGAAGAGGAAAATAAGAATATTTCATACTGTTTATTGTTGTCTCTCGAACATGTTTGAGTAGTTGATGAAAACACCAGTGAGGATCTAGTTGACATCTCAATGGAATGATATTCTCGAACAATCCAATTATAGATTTTAGTTCATCTCTATATCGATTCTCAATATTCATTGAAATACATAAATCTTTTTCACCATTAGTTATTTTGAATAAGAAGATAAAACAAGTAGCAAGGGATAGATGTTCATGTTTGATATTGTTTAATGATGCATACATAAGAAACTGATGTGAAAGATCTTGACCAAAATCAAAGGAGATAGATGTTGTTCGATTAGTTCGATGTTCATTCATAAGACGATATCGATCGTATGGTAATGACAAAGATTGATCAAGATGATAATCATGAAGAGCATCAAGCCAAAACATACTTGCAGCAGTCATGGACATTTTTTGTTCGATAACAGCATCTAAATAAGGAGAAAGAAGTAGTTTAAATAGAACAAAAAATTGAGTATAATTACAATCGATATAACGTAGATTAGTATCATCATCAGTAGTAAGTTGGCCTGTTTTGTAAGCTTGATTGAGATCATGGAGAAAGATATTCATTGATGGATAATCAAAGAAAGCATGATGAAAATTGAAGATAATTATATCTTTATCGGAAAGGATGTTGTTTGAACAGATTTGTTTACGGTAAATAATATGGCATCGAAAGACAAGACCTTGAGCAAGATTGAAAAGTTGAGGATTACATTTCTCATTTTCGAAGATAGTATTGAGTTGTGCATCTGTTTCATAACTGCTTTCAGTAATTGTAACCATGTCATTATTGATATCTTGTTGAGTGAGAATTCGCTGCATGGGTAGATTTTTGTTAGAATCATAGATGATTGATGTACGAAGTGATTCATGTTTGGTAACAATGAGTTCAAGAGCATGACCAAGTTGTTTTACGGATAAAATATCTCCTCTGTGGAGACGATAGAAAAATGACACATTATGGGTCATTGAAGATGATTGGTCAGTATCGGCATCTCTTTGATTTCCAGACCATATTCGATATTGTGCAAAGGACGCCGGTGCTACAAAAATTAAAGTTTAATTGATTACAATGAATAATCATAATAACCAATTGCTCTCATCATATTATAGTCACTTTTGTTTATCTATTTTCTAACTGAATTAAATCAATATTGTTGCTTGGTATATGAGTCAACAATACAAAATTTAAAAATATGATTCATCAAGATTTGCATCAAAACTAACTATGAGTACTAAAAGTTTTTAGTAATGAATTTTCGAAACATTACAGGAATATTTTCACGAAGAAAGGTTTTCACGAATCTGGTGTTATCTCATTTAATTGAGCTTTCATCAGTATACATCAATATGTGCAATACATGTTATATATATTGTTCAAGATTGGAACAATAAACTTTCTGGAAAAGAAGTATAAAGAAAATTTGAAAAGTGAAGCTGAGATCTCAAGCTTAGCTAGGTTTTCAAATAATGATGTCATCATATACATGTGTCAGAGTAGAGAGCATACTACAAATAGATCAATAAAAAAGAAGAAGACACCTGATTATGAAAAATCATGGTAACAATAATGTGTTACCTCTCCACATTTTCAGTTCAACAAAGAAGAAGAAAATCGTCTAGCGAGAACATAATAAATCATGCTGTTTCGTCGTATGTTTTCTGATTGCTGATCTTTTTCATCAATATAAGTATTAAAGCATTGAAAACATTTTAAAAATGGATATACCTTCATTGATAATATTCTCCAGTTTATGAAACACTATTGTGTGTATTTCTTCACTTTCTTCGTGTAAAATAAGAGAAAATTTGCTGATCGATACATTATATCCATTCATTAAAGTATTGATTGATTTACTATCAAAAATCTGCTCACAAAGATATTTCAATCTTCGACCTATTATGGCAGCTGTTGTTGCATCAAATATATCACGTGAACAAATCAAAGAACATGATAGTTGATTATCATCTGATGATGAATTGTAAAGAAATCTTAATGAGAAGTCAAATTTAGCCATTTCATATGATTCATTTAATGACACTTCTTGTAAGTTGACATCATTCAAACGTAATCCACTAACATCTGCTGGCACAGTGATAAAATCAAACACTGTCTCAAGAAATGATACATTCGACTGATTTAATCGATTATCACCAAGAATATGTTGAAGTGGATAATGAGAATGTTCAAGAATTGATAGACATTTTTCTCTCACGTGTTGAACAAGTTCATCAAATGACCAATGAGGATTAAGTTCAACTCGATATGGCAATGTTGAAACAAACATTCCTATCATATTCACTAATTCACTTCGATATCGATTTGCATTAATAGAACCAATACATAGATCAGTCTCA